ACCGGGACACGGGCAAGTGCGCCTTCCGCACCCACACGGGCAAGTACTGGACGCTGACGGCCACCGCGGGCGTGCAGTCCACCGCGGCCGCCAAGTGAGTTCCCCGCGCTGCCCGCCCGCGCCCGCGCGCCGCGCCGCGCCCGCGCCCTGACCGCCCCCTCCGCCCCCAGGACTGCCAGCTGCTACTTCGACATCGAGTGGCGCGGCCGGCGGATCACACTGCGAGCGTCCAATGGCAAGTTTGTGACCGCCAAGAAGAATGGCCAGCTGGCCGCCTCCGTGGAGACAGCAGGTAGCCAGCTGCCTGGGGGGCTGGGCCGGGGGGGGGGGAACCCAAGCTTCTGGTTGCCACCCTTGCACCCTGGAGGGTCGGCCGTGCATGGGTCACTTGCCAGTGTCACCTGAAGCCCTCTGTGTGCGCTGGGCGTCCCTCCCGGCTCACCCGAGGGCTGTGTGGCCTCCAACCTCTGCGTCTCCCTCTCTGAGCCACACCGCGGTCACCCCGGCCCCCGTCCTCCCTCTGCCATGAGGCTCACTGGCCCTTCCCTGGGGCAGGGGACGCGGAGCTTTTCCTCATGAAACTGATCAACCGTCCGATCATCGTCTTCCGCGGGGAGCACGGCTTCATCGGGTGCCGCAAGGTCACGGGGACCCTGGATGCCAACCGCTCCAGCTACGACGTCTTCCAGCTCGAGTTCAACAACGGCGCCTATAACATCAAAGGTGGGTCCCCGGGGGGAGGCCGGCCGGCTGTGGGATCAAAACCCAGGGAGGCAGCACGCCAGTGGCTCCCGCCTGTAATCCCAGCTTCTCAGGGCCAGAGATCTGGAGGAGCACGGTTCAAAGCCAGCCCCGGCCAAATAGTTCAAGAGACCCTATCTTGAAAAGAAAAACCCATCAAAGAGAGGGCTGGTGGAGTGGCGCAAGGTGTAGGCCCTGAGCTCAAATCCCAGTACTTTTTTGTTTTTTGGCCAAAACAAAAAAGCCAGGGGTGTGAGCCCCAATAATTCAGAGGTGCTGAATTGGATCCAGTCCCCTTCATGTGTCCAGCACGGACAGGAGGGCACTGGGGACTTCCACTGAGTACTGGAACCTGCCTGGAGGGGGGCGCATTGGCCTTGGAAGAGGTCGGGGAGCTCCAGGGAAGGTGGGGTGGGAGTGGGGTGACCAGGACACAGCTTGAAAGGGTCTCTCTCCTTAGATTCCACGGGCAAGTACTGGATGGTGGGCAGTGACTCCTCTGTCACCAGCAGCAGTGATGTCCCCGTGGATTTCTTCTTCGAGTTTTGTGATTACAATAAAGTGGCCATAAAAGTGGGTGGGCGCTATCTGAAGGGGGACCACGCGGGGGTCCTGAAGGCCTGTGCTGAGACCATCGACCCTGCCTCTCTCTGGGAGTACTAGGGCCACCCAGCCCAGGCAGGTGGCTCCTCCAGACCCTCCTGCTAGCCCCTCTTCTCCAGGTGGTCCTGCGGCAGGTGATGTGCCCTTTGCTTTTCAAACTGGAAACCCCAGAGAAAATGGTGCCCCAACCTGCTCCCCTCGGACGCCCCATTCCCTGCTCCCCATGGGTCAGCAGTTGCAACCTGTCCCTTGGAGGGACTTTGGGTCCCTCTGTCCCCTTCTCTGCCATGGGACAAGACTGGCACCTCTTTCTTTTGACCTCAGATGACTCTGAGCCTTATTCCCCAGGAGTGACCCAGGAAGAATGGGGGCTGAGAAGCTGCCTGAGCCCTTGAGAGCTGGGCACTTGTCACCAGCCTGACCATTCCGCCCTTCCGCCTCCTTATCAAAAGGGTAGGCTTAGAAGGTAGGGCTGAAACCAAGGCTTGCCCACAGGTATTTTTGTGGGTGGTGTCTGTGTCCTAATGTCCAGCCGGTCTCCCTAGCTCAAAGCCAGCCATGTGACATTTACAGGGTCTGCCTCCTGCACACCTTGGGTTACTGGGTACCTTACTCCCATCTCTTTCCCTTCGCCCTGGCCTGACTGGAAATAGATGACCAAGTCAGTATTCTTTTTTAACAAAACGTTACTGCTGGAGGCACCCCGAAAGCCTGGTCTTGGGGGAGGCTGTGTGTGGCTAGGAACCTGTGCCTACCTCCCTGCTGGTCTCTCCCACCTGCCCACCCTCAGCCATGGGCCCGCCCTCCTCAGCCAGAGCCCTGCTGTGATTGGTGCTCCACATCTGACCGACACCTCCGGTCTCCTGGGCTGGGCCCCCTGCCCGCCAGCTACCCCCACCATGCATCTCACTCTGCGTGTCTTGGTCTTTATTTTTTTCTAAGTGTCATTTGTATAACTAAACGTCCATGATAGTAGCTTTGAACTGGAAAAGAGCAAAATAAAGTAATGCGAGTCTGCAGCCCCCACTGGCTCTTGTTCTTGGAGAGGAGGGGGTGGGGGTGGGGTGGACATGGTGGGGGGCGGGGAGACAGGGAGGAGGAGAGAGGCCTGAGGCTGGGGTGGGTGCAAGGGGCTCAGCCTCAGGTCTCAGATGGGTGTGGCCCAAGCACGTGCCTAGCAGCTCTGGCTGCACCCGCCGAGGTCGTGGGTCATTTGGGGAGGGGGGGAGGGGAGGACGTGCACTGAGTGGGCCTGTGTCCTGCATGCCGAATGTTAGCGCAGGTCAGGGGACACAAGGACAGCTACTTCCTGACTAGAGGTCACCCCTTCCCTGTTTGCAAGGAGCACCCCACAAACAGCATGTCCCCTGGGTGGCTCAGGAGTGAGGGAAGCAGGCCAGCTCCGCAGGGGAAACTGAGGCACAGCCTTGCATGGGGGAACTGAGGAGCTGCAGGTGCCCACCTGGCTGAGACTGGGCGGGGCAGGGCGGGCAGAGCAGGCGCTGATTGGCTGCTGGTGACGACACGGGACGCCCGCGCGGTGATTGGCGGTGCCTGGGGCGGGAGCGCGGAGATTGACAGGGACAGATGGCTACAAAGGGAGGTGGGGTCCCGGGACCGCGCCCGGTAGAAGCGGGGCGGGAATTCAGACGCGTGCCCGTGACGTGGAGGGACGGATGAGTCCTGGGGCAAAGTCGCAGGCCGTGGGAGGGAGGAAGGAGGGAGGGGACTCTCCCGTTCCCGCCACAGAGCCAGCCTGGCTCGGGTCGCCTCCCTGCGCCCGCGGGTCCCGGCTGACTCCGCACGAGTGGATCCGCCGGTCCGTGCCTGTGGGCGCCGCGGCGGGGGCGGCCGACGGGGGACGGGTCCCACGGGGACACGGGGTGCAACTGGGGGGACGGGGTCCCACGGGGAACAGGGGGTGCAAGTGGGGGGACGGGGTCCCACGGGGAACAGGGGGTACAAGTGAGGGGACGGGGTCCCACGGGGAACAGGGGGTACAAGTGGGGGGACGGGGTCCCACGGGGAACAGGGGGTGCAAGTGGGGGGATGGGGTCCCACGGGGACACGGGCTGCAACTAGGGGGACGGGGTCCCACGGGGGAGGCAGGGAATTCCACGGGGAAGAACCGGGTGGGCTGGGGACAGGGAGGAAGCCATTCCCACATCTCTAGGGAGAGGTAGGTGTGGCCTAACAAGGGAAAGGGACAGGAAGGCCACCAAGGCACAGCCAGAAACAGGAGACCGAGGAGCTGGTGTGGGCTGATTGGGTCCCAGGTGAGCTGTGGGGTTTGGGGACCTGGCGACTCCTCCAGATGGGGTGGAGACCGCAGGCACCCTGGGAGGAGGGAGGCTGGGGGTGTGGGACTACTGACCTCGCTCCTGGACACCGGGCCCCATTTTGGCCTTTCCCTGGACAGGCTCGGGGCTCCCCCCCCAGTGCATGGACACACAAACACTTGTGCCCGACAGAGACACAGCCGTCAGTCCCTGCACCCCATTTCTCCCAGCTGAGTCAGGGGCCACCAAGGTCTCCACCACTCTGGGGTGTCCCCCAAGCAGGCCTGCCATGTGTGTGGGGGTGCAAGAGTCCCACTTAGCATAACACAGAGGTGAAAATTGAGGCTGGAGAGTCCCAGGGGACCTAGCGCCTTGCATCCAGGTCTCCAGTGACCCACCAGTCATCAATGGAAACTTGCAAGAAAGAAGAGAAAGGGAAGGCCTTGTGCACTGTGCAGGTACTTCCTGTCAGCTAGCAGCAGGAGGGTAGGCAGTGGGGGGACAGCTGGGGCCCTGGGCCCCCCATTTCTGTCTGCAGGCCTGACCTCAGGATGCCTCATTGAGATAGGACCCTGATCCCTGCTGGGTGTCATTTGCCCCCCAGAAGGGCTCAGACATCCCCTCTGGTGGGTGTGGCCTGCTAAGTCCCCAGACTCTGTTTCCATGGGAGACACCCCTTTCAGATCTTCTGCTCCCACCCCTCCTGCAGGGACCTCTGAGGAGGACACCCCAGACACTGCAAGGCCCCATTTTTTTGAGGGTGGGACATTAATGAGGTTTGAACTCAGGGCCCCAAGCTTGTTAGACAGACACTCTACCAATTAAGTCACACCCCAGGCTTTTTTGCTTTAGTTGTTTGGATAAGGTCTCTTGATTTTGATCCTGCTTCCTCCTCCTCCTGAGTACCGGGATTACAGACATGCACTCTCATGCCTGGCTGTGACCTCACCTGTTTAAGTCTAACTTTTCTCTCAGATGAGTTCTTTTGGGGGTAGGGGGGACTCATCTGGCCTCTCTTTTAACATTTGAGAAAAGGTCAGCTCAAATGACCTCTCTGAGAGGTGGGTAGCTAGGGTCTGTAGGAGTGAGGCCCTGAGTCCTCTGGGGGCAGGAAAAGCAAAAGGGACAGATGGGGTCTCCCAGACCCAGGGAGGCCTTCCAGGGGCCAGGCTGCACATTCAGCCTGATAGCCAAAGCCAGGAGGAGGAACATCCTGCATGACTGTGGACAATGAAGACAAAAGCCATCGGGCAGGCAGATTGTGGGGGAGGGTCTGCCCCTCCCCTTCCCTGGGACCCAGGCCTGGCCTGTGGGGGAGGGGCGGGAGGAGGAGCCTGGAGCCAAGCCTGGGCCGTTGTTAATAAGGGCGTGCAATCAGAGCTCACCCCAGGCAGGAAGGAGGCAGTGAGGCTGGAAACAGTCCTCTCAACAACTTTTATTAGGGCATGTTCACTGGACTGGAGGTAGTAAGAGTTTCTTAGATTCTTCTAGAACACTCAAGGGCTCTGCCACTGGAACCACAGAATTTTTTTTTTTTTTTGTGGTACTGGGTTTTGAACCTGGGGCCTACACTTTGAGCCACTCCACCAGCCTTTTTTTTTTTTTTTGTGATGGGTTTTTTCGAGATAGGGGCTCTTGAGCGATTTGCGGTTGGAAACCTGAGTAGCTGGGATTACAGGGGTGCACCACCAGTACCCGGCTCTGCTACAGTTTTATAACGGCCCCCTGTGGGAGGTAGTATTTTATTCCCGCTCATGAAGAAATGGGAGCACAGAGAGGTCAGTTAACGTGCTCAAGGCCACACAGTGGGGTCACTGATATTTACGTGTAACTACGTCCGACGAGGCTGGGCATGTGACTCATTGTGTCCCCATACGTACCCCAGGAGCTGGGCCACCACTTCCGCAGCGCGGACCCTCCCTGTGCACTCAAGGCCAGCCCGACAGCAGGCGGAGGGCAGAGCTGGTACAGGGGGTCTGGGGCGCAGCTCTGCACAGTGAGGACAGGGCCGAGGGATCTGAAGGGCGCCCACCGCTCTGCTGTGCCGTCAGAGGCTCGGACCGCGTCTGTGACAAGCGCTGACCCCTCGCTTGGGCCCAGAGTGAACTGAACACAGGAGAAGCTTGGCGTCCCTGCCGCCATTGTGCATCTGTCTTTGCTCTCAGCCGTTCTCTTTGCAGTCACTTTGCAATCAGCCTAGATTCCAGAAAGGACAGGACTGATGACCTCTTTATGACGAGGGACCGAAACTTCCCACAAGGAACAGTGGGGACTTGCAGGACAGACGCCTCCAGATGAGGACAATGACCTGCAATGGTGAGGCTGTGCCCTGGAGCAGGAGCGGTCACCTCACGGGAACCAGTTCACTCCCCTCAAGAGATGACAGCGATGACATCTTCTCCAGAACCCCTCAGAACCCTTGGAGGAGATAATGGTCAAGCTGACCACACCCGTGACTGGGACTGTGTCACTGTCACACCTTTGTCCCCTGCCCCCAGTCCTTTCTCTGCTTGAACCTACAGCTCACGTCTGCACCCCGAAGATGGCAGAGGATGGGCTGAGGCTCACTGTGCCTCTTCCCCCGGTGTCCCCAGCCGTGTATAAACCTCCTTTCTGTCACCAGGCCTCTTCATTTGGCGTGCAGGGGCGGTGGCCGGGCCTGGCACGTGGCGTCCCTGGAATCTGGGCCTTGGGTCCAAAACGCTGGTTTCATAGTGACCCCAGCATACGAATTTTATTTGGGGGTGGGATGGGGGTGGGACTGGGATTTGAACTCAGGGCTCTGCACTTGCAAAGCAGGCGCTCTACTGCTTGAGCCACACCTGCAGTCCATTTTGCTGTGGTTATTTTGGAGATGGGGTCTTGAGAACTACTTTCCTGGGCTGGCCTCAAACTGTGATCCTCCTGATCTCTGCCTCCCGAGTAACTAGGATCGTGGATGTGAGCCACCAGTGACTGCTTGTTTTTTTCTTTTTTTACAATGTAGCTCAGGTTGGCCTTAAACTCATCTTCTACTGTCCCAGCCTCCGGAATGCTGGGATTATAGCAGTACACCTCTGTGCTCGGCTGCATGGTTAATATTTGGAGGAACAGTCAGTGTTTGCCGCAGCAGCAGCAGTGGGGCCATCTTACAGCCCCACAATGTGCGATGCGTCCTGCTGTCTGTTTACACCTGGGACAGCCTGGTCCCCACTGCTCATCCCTTGACAAGTCACCTAAAAAATTGCGTGTCCTTATCTGCACAGACAGACCTCACTCTGTCTTCTCGCCTCCCCTCCATGGATGAATGTCCCATCTTATCTACCTCGTCCTCCACTCACGGTCATTTGCGTCGTTTGTCATTTGTCACAAACGCAAACACTATAGGAAGGAACAACTGGGTGCAGAAGCCTTTGTCCCAGTGCCTGGGTAAATTCCTCGGAGGGTGACTTCTGAGTCACCTGACGGCTTGATAGATGTGGCTAAGTCCCCTCAAAAAGGTCCCTTGCCTGCCGGGCGTGACTGGTTCGCTCTGCTGTCCTCAACGCTGCACGCAATTAACTTGACTTTTTTTTTTTTTTGGTACTGGGGTTTGAACTCAGGGCCTTCACCTTGAGCCACTCCACCAGTCCTTTTTTGTGGTGGGTTTTTTTGAGATAGGGTCTCAAGAACTATTTGCCTGGGCTGGCTTTGAACCACGATTCTCCTGATCTCTGCCTCCTGAGTAGCTGGGATTACAGGCGTGAGACGCTGGTGCCGGTCTGGTAAAGGTTTTGACATCCCTGCTCAAAGTCCTGCTCTTTACATCTTCTCTGTCTGGACAGTGGGGGATCAGGGCCACCTGGCCAGCCCTCCATTCTACAAGTGGAAAAACAGAGGCTCCATCTGGCCACGCTGACCTGCCCACTACGACACCCATGTAAAGAACCTGGCCCATGTTTGCTGATTCTAAAAACATCAAGCTAGGAGTCAGGTATAGTTGTACACACCTGTAATCCCAGCGCTCGGGAGGCAGAGGGAGAGGATCATGAGTTCCAGGAAAACCTGGCCTATGTAGCAAGACCGTCTCACAAAACCGAAACCCCTGAACGTTTTAAAAAATAAAAAAGTTAAGGTGCCGTATTGTGGCTTCCTGTGGATCAGACGGCGTCTTCACCCTCAATACCTCATTGTGCAGACCATAAACCCTTTTCTGTGGTCAGTTTTGGTTTTTTCCAGTACCGGGGTTTGAACTCAGGGCTTTGTACTTGCCAGGCAGGCACTCTATCACTTGAGCCACTCCCCCAACCATTATAGGTATTTTTGAGATAGGGTCTCTCTTTTTGCCTGGGTTGGCCTGGCTTGGGATCTTTCTGAGATGACAGACGTGTTGCAATACCCAGTTTTTTTTCCTGTTGAGACGGAGTCTTATGAATGTCCCCTCCCCCCCAACCTCACCCAATCTTATTTAAAGATTTAAATTGCAATCCTCCAATCTCAATCCCTCAAATAGCTGGGATTACAGGTGTGAGCTGCCACTCCCAACTGAGGTGGGTATTTCTATTTTTATTTGAGGTACATTCTTCCAGCTAACATCTCTTGAATACCCCAGGTCCCAACCTGGAACTGTGGACCCGGTGCTGAGCCAAATAGAGCCCACGGTCTTCCAGGAGATGGGCAAGCTGGAAAATGTCCCCCAAGGAGAATGGCGGAGGATGGTCAACGCCTGAGATGAGGGAGAAGGTCAGGGTCCCGGCCAGACAGGAAGTGAGCGCCTGCACTTCCTGTCTCGTCTGCCCTGAGGAAGTCCTGGGCTTCCTGGTTGGCACTGGGCCGTTAGAAGGAAGCACAGTGAGAGGTGTGTGGGACGTGCCATCGTCTGTCCCCAGGCCTGAGGCTGGACAGGCTGGGGTGGCCACACAGGCCAGGGACACCCAAATGCTCTTCGGAGGAGCCACCTAGACAACTGTGTCCAGTTCCAGGCTCTGATTTCCTGAGGCCGGAGGCCACCCTGGCTGGCTGCAGAGGTGGAGTGTTAGGGGCAGGTCATAGGGTGGCAGGGACGGAAGCAGTTCAGGCCTCCTCAGCCTGGCATGGGGCCCTCCCTCTGGGTTATGGCGGGTTTTTATCTATGGACACTATTTTTCAATTCGCACACAGGCAAGTGCTGTCTACACCCCACCCCTAGGGACACTTTATTTTTTCTTTTTGGTTTTTTGAGACAGGGTCTTGCTGTGTAACCCAGGCTGGCCCGGACCTCATGATCCTCCTGCCTCAGCCTCCTAAATGCTGGGACTCCAGGTGTCCACCACCAGGCCCAGCTCCCTAGGGATATTTTTTTTTTTTGCAGTACTGGGGTTTGAACTCAGGGCCTACACCTTGAGCCACTCCGTCAGCCCTTTTTTGTGAAGGGTTTTTTGAGACGGTCTCACCAACTGTTTTCCTGGGCTGGCTTCAAACCTTGATCCTCCTGATCTCTGCCTCCTGAGTAGCTGGGATTATAGGCGTGAGGCAGCAGCCCTAGGGATATTTTTTGACTGTTAGAACCTATTGTGTTTCTTCATTGGAGCTGCTAAGAAGGTGAGACCACTCTAATGGTGTGCGTGTGTGTGTAAGAGAGAGCGACAGAGACAGAGAGACAGAGAAGAGACCAGATATAGGGCAGGAAGGAGAGACAGCTGTCCACTGGACTCAACATCCCTGTGCTCTGGCAGAGCTGTGACCACTTGCTGTACACATGGGTCAGGACAGGACTCAGGCTGGAGCAGCCTGGTGTGGTGGTCTGCTGTCCCTGGACTGGCCTTCGGTGGAGAAGTGCCAGATGGGCTGGGCTGCATCCATGCTGCACAGAAGCTGGGGCTGGACTGCAGGGGGCCGAGAGCCCACAGGCAGGGGCTGTGGTCTTGGCCCAATCTCAGCTGACACGGCACCCCAGGGTCCCCAGGTACAGCACCTGCAACCAAGGCCCCGTGGCATCCAGAGCTGTGTGAGGAATAGCATGGCAGGGGTGTGGGAAAGCACAAGTTGGGGTGTGTTTGGTGCAGTGTTAGGTGCAGGAGAAGCAGGGGCAGGAGAGGGCAAAGTGGACACACACGCACAGACGCACGCAGGCTCCTGCCCCATCCTTTGACGCAGCAGCCCCACGTTCAGGACTGTCTCCTGGAAGATTCACACCCTGTGTTGCAGTGTGAGGTCTGAGTGACTCCCATGAAAACCAGGGCCCAATGCCCCAGCTGTGAGCAGGTGCATTGAGGTGCTGGGCCCAGGGGAGCTGGGCCATCACGACTGCCAGCTGTAGGGAGTGTGGGGACTGTCAGGATGGGAGGGAGCCTTCACCTGCGCAGTGTGCTGTGGAGGGCGAGCAGGAACAAGGCCTGGGTGGTACACACTGGCCAGTGCACGTCTGCACTCGCTGCTGGTTCAGGAGCTGCGGGGATGGGTAACTTTGGTCTCAAAACATTTACTCCAGCATGCTTTTCCTCTGAGGTGCAACTCCCCGAAAAGCCAAAATGAAAAGGTTGTTTAGTAACACTCGTCTCATTAGAGGGTCCTGTACTAGGGAGGGGGTCCCAGGTTCCCCATGGCCAGATGTCCTCCCCCACCCTCCCCCTACTCATAGAGCCAATGCCACCCTGGTCTGGCTAGCAGCCCCAGGGAACTCTGGGGAAGAGGCTGGGCTGCCAGTGTCGTGCACAGAGTGCCAGCAGCTGCAGCTCCACACCCATCCAGCCACCATGCCCCGTTTCCTTAGCACCCCAGTTCCAGGGTTTATGTCTGTAGTTTCCCTATAGGGGACTGTGTGCGAAAATCCTAAAAAACAAAAGCTTTGTGATGTGAGTCTTGGTAGCCACCCAAGGAGGTCAGGCTCCTCAGACACCCTAATGGATCTTGCCTGAGTCCTTCCTCTTGGGAGGCAGTGACCTTGACTTGGATCTGCCCACTGTGAGGGCCCTGTGGGCTCCAGGAGAAACAAAGCCAGAGGGAGAAGAGTGCACAAACATTTATTTACAGAAAGTCAAAGTTACATATGGTACAGGATTTTTACACACAGCAGTTTAAACAGATTTATATTACCTATTTTTACTACCAGAATGTAAAGAAACAGTTAACCGATAGCTTGATCATACAGTGACAGGCCATGCACACTGACCTTCAGGGTGAAATCCTTTGCTGAGTGCAGACACTAGGATCCCTCTCCAGTCTTAAGGCAAATAGATGGGACAGTGGCAGGTAGTCTTGCCCTGGGAGCAGCCTAGGTCCCAGAGGTTAAGGTACCAATCTGCCTTGGGGACCCCTGCTGGGCCTGTCAGCGGCTGGTCCTTGGGCTCTGGCACTGTGCTGGCTGGGCAGAGGCACAGGGAAGGCCAAGGGCCTCTCTGGATGCCAGGGTTCTTGTGCTAGTATGCAGCTCTGGGGACAGTGCTGTAGGCCAGCTCAGGAGGATCACGGGAACCACACCTGATGGAAATGGTCAGCAACCCCCTCCCCCCAGCCACGTGTGGTCAGGGCTAGAAGAGGCTCGAAGGACAGCCCTGGGTTGGCTTTAGGTGGGACTTCATTGCACCCTGCCCTCCCCAAGCCAGGGTCTGAGTGCCACCTGCCTGGGGCAGCTAGCTTCCTGGTCCAGCCTCAGTCCCTAGGTGTCACCTTCCCATCTGTGTGGCTGGCAGCTTCCCTCTGCTCCCAGGGGAGGAGCAGATAACAGTGTGCTACTGTTTAAGGTACTTAGGGCTCTTGCCATGGCGTGCGGCCCACCTTTCCAAGGCACCATCATTCAGATGAGCCACTCCCATGCTCCAACCCACGCCCAGGTGATCTTTTCTCCTATTCGAATCCCTGAAGGACACTGACAAGCAGATGGCAGGGTGATGGCGTCTTTCAACTGAGATCTATGCTCTGAACGGCCAAGGGTGGCCCACACAGGGTGAGAAAGTGACCCTGTCCTGCCTGTACGGCTTGGTTCCAGTTCAGCAGGTGGAAACTTTGGGCCTCTGCTTGGCCAACAGGGTATAGAGATGCCTTCAGTGTGCAAAGACCTGAGCCGGACAGGTGACACGGGCAGTGGGATCATGGCAGGGACCTTGACTCTCATTGACCTCAGAGGCAATTACCCTCACCCCTGTGCCAGGACCCACCCTCTACCTCCCCCACTGCTAGCTACTGAGAGAAGGTGTGGTCAGGTGGGATGGAGGGCTGAGTGACAGGGGCGTCTGCATCTCTAGGGAAGGAAGCCCCAGAATACCTTATTCATCACCCACCTGGTGGCAGTGGGCAGCCCGGAGGCCTGTGAGGGTAACTGAGAAAAAGACCTCTTGTTTGGTTCAAGTGTTAGAACCACTTGGCCCTCAGAAGCTGCCTGGTGTGGGGCAACGGATTTTAGTCTGGCTTCCCAGAGACTGAGAAAAGCTGTGGGCAGCCACAGAAAACTGCATCAAAGCGTGTGAACAGGAGGAAACTCTGTAGACAACAACAAACTAAACCCCCGGCATTCCTGACCTGAATGGGTGCCATACAGCATGGGCTCCATGCTGTGGCAGTGCCCTGGGACATGGCTCTGCTCCCTCTTCAGCTGGGCCACACAAACTCTAGCCTGTGGGGGGGCAGGATGCAGGCCTCCAGGCTTCAAGGGAGACCTGTGGGTGGCAGTTCAGCTCTGTCAGCTCTCTACCAATGCCACTGTTTGGTACTTAGTCTTTAATACGGAACCAGTTGCTGTAGTCAAGCAGGCCTGTGTGGTGCCTGATTCTGAGGGGCCTCTGATATCTGCTAGGGGAAAAGACGGGGCCAAACAACTTCCTCTCCATCTCTTTCTGCAGGGGACAGAGAGGCAGCACGGTCAGGCCCATGCCAGCCCCAGGAAGGCAGAACTAGGGAGGAAGGCTCCCTTGTCTCTGGCCTAGAGAAAGCCAGACTGGTCCCCTTACAGGCACCCAGAGGGCACCTGCCTTTGAGAGGCAAGCGGCCCTTCCCGAGGAAGGCGCAGGAGGACGACCAGCCCGCCCTCAAGGTACCCCAGGGAACCACCACTCTATGCAGAAGGCAGGGCAGCACAGGGTAAGGCGGGTCAGGGTGGGGTCCTCTGTCATACAGAGGCTCAGAGCTCAGCAGGGCCAACAGGGCCCTGTGTCAGAAGCGATGCCGAGGCTGGGGGCCAAAGTGCATGGGCAGGTTGTGCTCCAGGGGCACGTGCATGGGGCCGAAGTCGTAGTTGACCCGCACATTGGGCAGAGGGGGCACGTAGGGTGCCGGGACAGGGCCCATGTTGAGCGGGAAGTTGTTGAAGACAGGCCGCACGGGTGGCAGGGGGAAGGGTGGGTGCACAAAGGCATAGGGTGGCATCTGTGGTGGGTGCAGGTTCTGGGGCACAGGCCGAGGGAGGGCTTCCATCCGCTGCACTTTCTCGGGGGGCTTCTCCAGTGGGGGTCCAATGCGTTTGAAAGTGTTCTCTAGAGGAAGGGGGGTTTGGTTGAAAATAGGCTGCACCAAACTGGGCCCAGGGTGGCAGGTGACACCACAGACCCTGCCAGAAATGGGCAGTTACAGATGGCCAAGCACAGCAGGGGAGTGTGACCTCTGACTCCTTGCCTACTCTTTCCTCAGGGCCCAGTGAGATGCCATGAACAAAACTATACTTCTCCCAGGGTATCCTTCCACATGGTTCCTAGAGGGTGACACGGTTACCCAGTCCTGCACTGGGCATCACTGTGACTTTGCTTTCGAGCCAGAGCCTCAGGGCAGGTCACAGAAACCCCAGTGCATCCATCTGTCACCTCAGAAGGGTCATTGGGTCACTGCTCTTTAGTCACATTTGGCTTCTATTTGCTTTTTGGAGCCCAAACCTACCCTTGGGATTAATTTGCCATCAAGGGGGCCAAAACTGTCCCCAAGGCTTGGATGGCCTTTCCAGGGCCTAGCAGAGCCCTGAGAGGCCACAGCTGGGGAAAGTACTTGCCTCCGTTCTTTTTTTTTTGCTCCTCTTCTGCCTCCTTCTGGATTTCCTCAATTAGTTTCTCATCATCTTCCTAGAAGAGAAGCAATGGGTAGGGTGAGCCTGCAGCAACCTGACTTCTCCCCAGCACCCTTCTCCACCATCAGTTGGTGGCACTCCCAGGGGAGGCTCAAGGGAGAAGCTGGGCAGGGTCTGCAGGGGATAGATGGGTGGCAGGACTGCAAGGGGCTGGAGTAGGCATGGCCTAAGAAGCTTTAGATCCAGTCTGCAAACTCTGGGCACAGCAGCCCTTTGTGCGGAGTCAGAAAAGCTGCTCGGGATGTGGAGCCCTGCACCCGGGCTGCTGAAGAGGACCCTGTGCAAAGGGCAGAGCAGGGCAGTATGCCAACAGACCGTGTTGTCTCCCTTCCCCAACCCAACATCCAGAAGTTTTGAAATGATAGATCCAATTCAAACTTGGGTCCCCAGCCCAGGCAGGATGCCGAGAGGCAGCCTGAGTGCAGGCAGCCATGAGCGGCCCGGCCCCCAGGGAAGTTCAGTGGTGCTGGGTGTGTGCCGCACATCATTGTAGCTCAACCTGCCAGCAAGTACTTTGGAGAGAGACCTGCACTGCTGTGCTGGACAGACCACCCCACTCGCTCACGCTTCCCGTGGTGGTGCTGGGCTCAGCTGGCTCCTATGCACCCACAGAGGCTTTCCAGTTTACAGAGGAACTGAAAGAATGTTCACAGGACTGACAAACTCCAGGAAGGATGCTGCACCTCTTTCCTGGCAGCTGTGGGGCTGCCAATGGCGCCTCGTTCTCAGAACTGAAGGACTTTGGCTGTCCTGGACCACGCTGAAGCACTGCCATAACCCTGCCAGCCAACCTAACCAACCACAGGAAGGGTCTGTTTCCTAGGCCCTTCTAGTAGCTTCTGCAGGAGTTAAGAACATCCAAGCAGTCAGGTGTGGTGGTGCATGGCTGTATTCCCAGCTATTTGGGAGATGGGAGGATCAAGGTTTGAGGTCAGCCTGGGCAAAAAAGTTAGCAAAACCCTGTCTCATGGTGGTGCATGCTTATAATTTTAGCCACACTACTTTCGAGACATAGGGAGGAGATTAGCGTGGGCAAAAATTGTGAGACCCCATCTGAAAAACAACTCAATCAAGAGAGCGGTGGCATGGCTCAAGTGGCAGAGGGCCTGAGGTCAAACACAAGTATCACAGAACCCACCCCCAAAAAAAACAAGCCAAGCTGGGGAGCAAAGGGAGGGACTATGGTCCCCAATATGGTGGAGGAGAGCAGAACAAGTTTCCAGAAGGGGAAAAGTCCACCTGAAGCCTATGCACTCTCCAGACAAAGCCTCTGAGCCACCTGGCTAGCTGCTTTGCTTTGGGCTGGAACATTAACTGTAATAACTCTGGGTTTCTTTTTCATGGAGACCTGAGAAAGGGTCTTGCTGTGTACCCCAGTCTGGCCTTGAACTCATGAGGCTTCGGCCAGAGCCTCCAGAGTGCTGGGATTATAGACAGTACTACCACACCTGGGGTTTTTCATGCTGAGCTGATGACACCAAGAGCTTCTGGGATGTGAAAGGAAGGCAAGAGTGAGCAGGAGCCGCAGAGAATGTGGCCCTGAGCCCCTCATGGGAGGACCAGGCACGGGAGGTCTGCATATCTACTTAGTAGGTGACTCACGTCCCAACCAAGACAGTAATCAGTGATTTCACCACATGGTTATGACCCTTAATGATTCTGGAGTCGGGAATTCAGTTCAGAAGATGTGTACTGCACACTGCCCTGCAAGACACTGCTCTAAATTCATAAACTTCAACCAATGAGACAGAAAGTCACCCAGATGGAATGAGAAAGTTGCTATGCAACACGTTCCCTGGGCTTGGCAGATAAAGGGCTTTAGAAAGGAGCCCCTGGAGACCAGCTCTGGCGACACGGGCAACCCCATGGAATGCTCACATTCTCCAGGCCTCAGCCATCAAGTGAAATGGACCACAAGCTGCTTCCCAACACTCATGTGGGGAAACTATTATTTTTTGCAGTACTGGGGCTTGAACCTTGAGCCAGCCTTTTTTTGTGTTGCGTATTTTCGAGATAAGGTTTGAAGAACTATTTACCCAAGCTGGCTTCGAATTGTGATCCTCCTGATCTCTGCCTCCTGAGTAGCTAAGATTACAGAGGTGAGCAACGGTGCCTAGCTCTGATGTGGGGAAATTGTTATATGCCTGGGTCTCTCAGTAGAAGCAGCTGTGTGTGGCCAGATGTTCTGGCAATGCACAGGGTAGAGGAGAGGTGACAAAGGCTGAGCTCCCATGCATTTCAGGAGCTGCAAAACGCCCACGCCCATCACTTGGGAGAAGTCTTGTGGGCACCGTGTCCACCTCCCTGATAACGCATACAAATTCTCTACAAAAGCCCCAAGATGTGGTCATCTAGCCTCCAAAGAACCACTGCACGGGGGAATGCACGCGCCCTCAGAGTTACCACTGAGTATGCCAACGGGTGGGGCTCCAGTGACTCAGCAGGGCTGGTGACACTGCTGAAAGGCCACCACGTGAAAATCAAGATCATTCCTCCTGCCTAGACCAGGAGCTGCAAATTTCTTTACTTTCAAGCCAGTGGCAGGCCTCGGAAAAAAGACCAGAAAACAAAAAAGCAAAGCAAAGGAAGGTGATGGAGAAAGCTGAGGAACAGGAGCGCAGCTTTCAGTGAAGTGGCTGTGGCAGCTGTCTCAGGGCCACCTCTACAAAATGTGCTGTGGTAAGGATCAAATAAGGAAACACAGCGAAGGGACTCAGCACAGTCAGCATTTACTACTAAGGACAGGAAAACTGGAAAATGGCTCAAACAAAGACTTCAGAAGTACGAATTGGTTTTTAAAAAATGGTACAAACTGATGGTGTGGTGGCTCACGCCTGTATCCCAGCTAACTCCAGAGGCAGAGATCAGAAAGGAATGAGATTCAAGGTCAGCTTGGGCAAAACAGTTCAAGAGACCCTATCTCAAAAAATCCATCACAAGAAAAAGGGCTGCCAGAGTGACTCAATTGGAGAGCACCTGCCTAGCCAGCATGAGTGGCAGCTGTCTCAGGGCCACCTCTACAAAATGTGCTGTGGTAAGGATCAAATAAGGAAACACAGCGAAGGGACTCAGCACAGTCAGCATTTACTACTAAGGACAGGAAAACTGGAAAATGGCTCAAACAAAGACTTCAGAAGTACGAATTGGTTTTTAAAAAATGGTACAAACTGATGGGTGCTGGTGGCTCACGCCTGTAATCCCAGCTACTCCAGAGGCAGAGATCAGAAGGAATGAGATTCAAGGTCAGCTTGGGCAAACAGTTCAAGAGACCCTATCTCAAAAAATCCCATCACAGAAAAAGGGCTGCCAGAGTGACTCAAGTGGTAGAGCACCTGCCTAGCCAGCATGAGGCCCTGAGTTCAAACCTCAGTACTGCCAAAAAAAAAAAAAAAAAAAAAAAAAAGGACAGAGTAGAGATTGGGAGGTGCCCCTCAATGTTTCCCAGTGGTTTGTTTTTATTTACTTTGCTCTAGCTATCTATCTGTCCATCCATCCATCCATTTTCAGGGATTGTCCTGGGGTTTGAACTTAGGGCCCTGCATCTGCTAGACAGGCACTCTGCCTAACACACCCCCAGCCCTTTTGGCATTGGTTATTTTTCAAGCAGGGCCTCACTTTATGCCAGGCCAGCCTGGACCATGCGCACCCTATTTGCACTTCCCTCTGTACCTGGTTCACCACCATGCCCAGTCACTAGATGAAGTAGGGTCTTTTTTGCCAGGGCTGGCCTTGAACCATGATCCTCCCAGATCTCAGCCTCTCAAATAGCTAGGACTATGGGTGCAAACCACTGCACATAACTATTTATTTTGAGACAGGGACCTGCTATGTAGCCCAGCCTGGCCTTGAATTTGTGATTGTCTGCTACTTCCTCCCAAGTGCTGGGATTACAGGCATGTACTACCATGCCAAGCTTCAGTGACTTCTTTAAGGTTTGAGTAAGACAGGTTTCCTGACTGGTCACTTACTAAAATAAATATAGTACTACATTGCCATAGCTCATCCCTACTTCTACCTGCACACCTGAACAGGCCTCTAATGGCATATGAAGATACCCTAGAAATCATCCATTCCAACTTCCCCAGAGTACAGAAACGAGCCCCAGAGGAAGTGAGTTGTCAAAAGCCAGGGCTAAGTGCTGGTGGACTGAGACAAATGCTTTATTTATTCCAGTGTCATTAAGTTTTTATAGACAAAATCCACTGGAAAGGTGTGTTTTTGGCAGCACTGGGGTTTGAACTCAGGGCCTCAGCTTGCTAGGCATAGGCAGGCAGGCAGGCACTCTACCGCTTGAGCCACTCTACCAGCCCTATTCTGTGATAGGTTTTTTCAACATAGGGTCTGGAGAACTATCTGCCCTGGGCTGGCTTCTAACCTCGATCCTTCTGATCTCTGCCTCCTGAGTAACTAGGATTACAGGCATGAGTCACCACTGCCTGGACTTTTCTTTTTTTTTGAGTAAATGTCTCACTATGTAATCTAGACTGGCTTGGAATTCGAAATCCTCCTGCCTCAGCCTGACGGGATTACAGGTGTATACCACTATACCCAGCTAAAACAGTTTTTCTTTTTTCCCTGCAGTACTGGGGATGAAACCCAGGGCCTTGGGCCTCTAGGCAAGTGTTTTACCCCTGAGTCACACCCCAGCCTTCAGAGCAAGGGTGTCAGGTGAAAGGCTGGGTGGGCATATGTCCCTTCATTCAGACCCCTAGCAACAGGCATCAAGCTGCATGCTGCAGTAAGTACATAGGCAGAGGACCTCATGGAGCCTACCTTAAGGCTAGGAGCCTAGTTCCAGTGGGCTCCCCACAGGGGTTTGCTGCTGTGGGATCCACAGCATTGAGAACTGTGTCCTCACCTAGCTGGACCTCAGGACAATGGGATGTGAGGGACAGAGGGTAGAAAGTTTCACGTCACTATGGCAGTGTTAGGGTGCTCACATGCAGGATGCCTGCCTGCATTGCATCACGAGGGCTTCCTGTGGCAGGTCCCCTT